TTTTCTAATAAACATATTTAAAATGAACAAAACAATTTAGTTCTGGGATTTGATCATCTTGCTGTCGGTGAAGCGACCGGTAATGAACTGGTAAAGATAAAAGAAAAAGCAAGTCTCTATATGACAGGTGTTATTTTCAACTTCTGACTAAGTTGTTTTATGTGAGAATTAAAGTCATTTAACATAAGGTGACATCATTTTACAACACTCAAACTGAAAGATTCAGTTTGAGCATTGTCAATGCTTTAAGTGACATGAAACTGGTTCCATCAAAATAAGGAATACTGGAATTATCCTAACACATTTTCATGAACAGACTAAAACACGTAATTCTTGATGACAACTGTAGTGACTGCTGATAGCTCTGAGAATTTGTTTATTAAGATGAACTAGTTCTGTTTCATCTTCAAATGAATTTTGGAATAACTTATTTTTAAATTTACGGAGTTTTAAATGCACATATATTTCATAATTTTTTGTTTCCAAGGATACAGAGAAATTTAATCATGTAGACAGGGGAGGTAGCATGTTCATTTTTATTAACTATTATTGTATCAATTATGAGTTACGATCGAAAAACGGTGCATTTTTCAATGAATTATGACATCCATTCAAAGCATGTTGCCTGTTTTTTTTTTTTATCAACGACAAAATTTTTCACGGCATTTTTCTCCATTAACTTCATACTTTTATACATAAACATTCTTTCTAAAATATTTATGCTCTGTAAATTTACACTGAGCACTGTTTTGTTAAAATAAAAAATATCAATAAGAACACTGGATTATATATCTTACTGTTCTTTCTTTTTTATATTTTTATATATATATATATATATATGTGTGTGTGTATATATTGTGTGTATATTTAGGCAGCAATTTTTTATTGACGTACATTTCATTAAATAATATAGACAAGTTTTGTCTATTTATTTTAAGTAAGTTCCTTTCATATTGTCTGATAAGCGAAAGACGAAAGGAAATACCAATGGCTCCTGTTCAAAATGGTTTCTGTTATCAATTATAAATGCCTATAATTGATAACAGAAGCCATTGGTTTATACCAACGGCTTCACATGCTTAATACTACTTGTTTTCACTCTCGTGTGGTCATGTGTGATGTCATTTTGTGCAACGCGATTTTCACTTCCACGTCTCGTATACACTAGTTAGTCATTGCTTTGAAATTGTTTCATCCATGTGTTGTTTGATATATTGAAATGTAACGGTCATCTTTGATAATGGCTTATGTAAGGCGAAAGCTTAGATTAGATTTAAACATGTATCAATATGTTGATTGCCTTTTGACTTTCAATGATAATGTTATTAAGCTTATCAGACAATATGAAAGGAACTTACTTAAAATAAATAGACAAAACTTGTCTATATTATTTAATGAAACATGTATTTATATATATATATATATATATATGCAAATTTTTATATATATTATTTATATATTATAAATGCGCAGTACTTATTGGAAAGTGCTCAATATCAGTGATGGAGCTAACATATTTAGTTGGATTGGTGTAGGTTTGTGACCCTGGGTTTCACGCTATTTGCGATCATCAAACAAACTGATTAATTTTTAAATTTTGGATTTATATATGGTTGTGTATGGGTTTTTATGGCAGTGGGAGGAAAAATTGTCATTGGAATGCCACTCATACATACGCAAACATACATACACGCATGTTCACACATTGACGTATGCAGACATACATACATGCACACTTACTCACTGGAACTCACACAAACATAAACATATATGAACAGTGTGGGACTGGACATATATACGCATACATGCGTTGTTGCGTACATATGTATGCAATTCGTCGCTGTATTCAATGTTGGATTGTGTAGCGAACATCTTCCATCAGTTGCTGTGTCATTGCACAGATCATTCATCTATTTTGTTCGCTGAATAATGTTTTCTCACACACAAGTATATACGTATGCACACGCGTTCACACATCTTCTATCTCTCTTTTCTTTTACTTTTTTTTCTTTATATATGATGGGGTCTGTGTAAGACTATGTTTATGCGTGAGCTCCAGTGAGTGAACGTGCATGTATGTTTGCGTAAGTATGAGTGGTGTTCTGACAACAAATTTTCCTCCCACTTCCATAAAACTTCCAATATATGCAACCATATATAAATCCAAAATTTTAAAATTAATCAGTTTGCCCAAAAATTCCAATCCTCTGAAGAAGGTCGACGCATAAATTACAAAGAAAAACATATTAACAAGAGATAAGCTATGTTTGGTCAATGGTCCAGCATCACACAAGGATGAATGATAAGGAATAAACCACTGTTTAGAGTTATAAAATACAAGAAGTTGTGGAGAGTCATGATCACCCACATCATTAAAGAATATCAACCAACTAAATCTTTACCTTGGGTGGCTCTTGGGCCTTGTATTGGATGAACATTGGTATAAAAACTTAGTTGTGGGTGGGGTTTTTGGAAGAATGGAATCTGAAAGATGACTCTCCGCGCAGAGATGGGAAAACCAGATGGATTGATAATGGGGGAGGGGGTAAGAAAAAATACTGAGGTAATTTTCCCACCTAATCTGTTCTCTCAAATCCTGCCCCTGTTATTCCATTTTTCTCTTCTTTCTTTATCTTTGCTCAACAGATGCAAAGCCTTTATTTTTTTTAACCCTTAGTTTTATTAGTTTTTATTTTTAAAGGAAGTCTTATTCGACATTTTATAAAAAAAAAAAAAATTATGTCCAGTTGTCTCTTCTGCTTTACACTTGATTTCTTCTCATCTATAAACCCTGTAACTCTGGCCCCTTAAATGTCCACAGAACAAAACCCAAACAGGCTGAATTAATTCATCTTCCAACAGATGGAAGGTAACCAAGAGAAAAGATCATTTTTTTTTTCTTTTTTATAAGAGATAGGGGATGATATTGAAGTTTTGGCTAGATTGAGGATAGGGGAAGATTTGGGGGTTCTGGCTAGATTGAGGATAGGGGAGAATTTGGGGGTTTTGGCTAGATTGAGATTAGTGGACAATTTGGGGGTTTTGGCTAGATTGAGGACAGGGGAGAATTTGGGGGTTTTGCCCAGATTGAGGATAGGGGAGGATTTTGGGGTTTTGGCTAGATTGAGGATAGGTGAGGTTCGAGGGTTTTGGCTAGATTGAGGATAGGGGAGGATTTGGGCGTTTTGGCTAGATTGAAGATAGGGGACAATTTGCGGGTTTTGGCTACATTGAAGATAGGGGACAATTTGCGGGATTTGGCCAGATTGAAGATAGGGGACAATTTGCGGGTTTTGGCCAGATTGAAGATAGGGGACAATTTGGGGTTTTATTTGAAGATTGAAGATAGGGGATTGAAATTTGGGGGTTTAGGCTAGATTGAAGATAGGGAGGTTTGGGGTTTTGCCCAGATTGAGGATAAGGGGAGGATTTTTGGGGTTTTGGCTAGATTGAGGATAGTGGAGAATTTGGGGTTTGGCTAGATTGAGGATATAGGGGAGAATTTGGGGTTTTGGCTAGATTGAGGATAGGGGAGAATTTGGGGGTTTTGGCTAGATTGAGGATAGGGGAGAATTTGGGGGTTTTGGCTAGATTGAGGATAGGGGAAGATTTTGAGGTTTTGGCTAGATTAAGGATAGGGAAGGATTTGGGGGTTTAGGCTAGACTGAGAATTGACAAGAAAGGAGCAATCATTTTCTAAGAGAATCAATTTTTTAAGAGAACATTATGCACTTAAAAAAATCGCTATTATAAAAAGGACCTAATTCTCTATCACATATTGTCTCCATGTGAATTTGCATACACCCATGTGTGTGCATATGCTTATGTCATGCATGAATGACTTACATATTCACGTGCCATTTAATACGCAGACCTGTACATTTTAACTCAGTTTGGAATATGATATATTCAAATAATACACTTCACTCGCACTCAGCCTGGAAAATCCCTACACTGAACTGATTGATTGATAGAATGATTGCCCTTGAAAACAAATCGTCATTTTCCATGGCTTAACAATACTTGGATCGCTCTACCACAGATGTTCCATGGCTTCCCTCTGTCTCTTCTACAAGTATTTTCACGGTGACTGTTCTGACGAGCTACTTTCATTGGTTCCCAGATTACATTAATTTAAGCGAGCTACTAGACTGGCATCTCAATCTCACCCTTTTACTGTGAAAATGATTAAATGCAACCGTCTCTTCTACTCAAACAGCTTCTTCTCCCGCACTTCACGTCTGTGGAACTCCCTTCCCTTTACTTGCTTCCTCAATTACTATAATCTTCTAATATTCAAGTGTAATGTCAATTGACATCTGACACCTTGAGCTTCTCTCTGTATCATTTCCTCCAACATGCCTCTTTCGTCTTATTCTCAATCCTCTGTAATCCCTTGCGTGTTAGTGGCACTCGCACCTTGCTTGGGGTGAATTGGCTTAAAAAAAAAAAAAAAAAAAAAAAAAAGCATCCATTTTTTTTTTTGCTTTGGCGGTGTGGGGGGGGAGATAATAATGAAATAGTGATACAAATCTTACATAGTAAGTTATTATATTTTTGGCAAATGATATTTAAATGCATTTCATTTACATTTGCTTTTCTATCATTTTTGATAAAACAGAATTACTTACTTAATGGTTAATTTTATTTGCCAACATGGCTAGGGGGAAGAAAAAGTGTATTCACACCTTTCCCAAAGGTATTTGCGTGTAAGTAAATATAATGAGCCCAACTAGAATTGAAACACAGCTCCCCAATTAACAGTCTCAAGCCATTATCCATTACTCCATCCGCACACCCGAGCTTGCAGCAACTTGAATTCACATGCGGTCACCATGTAAATACTGACCAGGCTTGACATTGCTTAACTCTGACAACTGTACAAGAAAGTTACTAATTAGGGTTGTAGAAGTACCACATGTAAAAAATGCAAATGGAATCGAAACTTGACTCTCTGATTAACAATTCCGAGCCATTATCCATTACATTACATCCACATT